AGTGAGCAAGAGCTGGAGAAAAGCCGTGGAAGAAGCGGCGTCCATTGGACGAGGGAGAAGCACCGCCTGCCCTCGCGGGCCAGCCTCCACGCGGGGGTACGACGAATACCACGCCAGAAGGGCGAACAGAGGGGTTGGCCGGTATGGCCGACACCGAGGCTCGATCGTTTGATTGCGGGAGGACAGGCTGCTGCCTATATCTACAAATCGTATAGGTATATACCACCACCACCCAACGCGCAACAAGTGTACACGCGTTGTTATGCTTTCCAAGGGTCGCCAAGCGCCAGAGGGGGGCTATACACGGTTGTGTTACCCCACTGTTTGCCGATAATCGTGATCATATAAATGCAGACTTATTGGGCATCAGCGGTATTTGAATTAGAGTTTTCGTCACAGGAGTGCCATCCACTGCCTGGGCCCGAGGGACTGCTGTATGGTTACAGTTGGAGAGCTCTATATTTCCACATCACGGAAAACGCCCCGAGGTGCAGAGCTAGTCGTAGTTTTTCTACTTTGGGTTATTTTTGTGATCTTTGGACGTTTATTGCGCCTTCGGTATAGGACATCAGGTATGATTCGCCACATTCAAGCGCCTTCCAGTGGCCCTTCGGGCGATCGCAGAGTTCCCTCAAAGGGCAGGTACGCTAATCTGTGGCGAATTCGCCATTTTTGCAGGAATTGGATAAAGGCATAAAGCCAAAAGATTTTCATACGATTTCTCTGGTCAAGTTCGCACCTGCAGTGTCGATTGCTATTTTTCTCAACTACAGGGAGCGACAAATTTTATTTCAATATACTTATTTTGAAATACGATTGCACGTCAACATACTGCTGATGCCGAAACCCAAAGTAATGATCTACAGCCACTTGTGATGCAGTACTGTGCGTCGATCTTAGCCAATAGAGCCAAATGTAAAATTTGTTGTTTAGTCAGTAAACTTACTGTGATTAAATTATCACGATCCTTTTTTTTGTAGTTCACTTCCTGCGCGTTCTTTGCGTCAACCCCAAATTTCACCAAACACGTGCATCATTTACATTTTTTTTCGATGGATATATACCGTCGTGGTGGGCAGAAGCAAAACGATGAGAGAAAATCCTTGGGTCCCTTATTTATGGAGAAACGCTTCATCAAATGTTTTTTTTTAATTTTATTATTTTCGGATTAAATTTCAGTGCTATGGAGTTTTATTGTTCTGTTGTGAATTTGAGAGTCGTCGGTTCATATAAAGCAAAATTTATTGAAAAAAAGGCAGCAATTCCGTATACGCGTGGCTCCATGATTTTACGATCATTCGATAAAGTCGTAAAACGAAACCAAACGAAACAAAGTTTCGTGGCTGAGACAACGCACGTGTATTATAGGGACGGATAGCCACACGCGCGCAGGCGATGAGCGATTCGGAGGTGATGGCGCATCGGCCGAGCCACGTAATCTGAATTATGATAGTACATTAAAAAACATGAGATACGAGCGAGCATAGCCAGGGAGGCCGATCTTCCCTCCAACATCTCCAAATTCATAATCGAACGTTATAAAATCGATTCTCCGGTCGCGGCAGCGGCGACTGGCTATGTAAGGCTGTGAGTTGCTAACAAAGTTGCGGCGCTGTTTCATCCGGCCCCCAGCGCTGCTGCGCCTCCTCGTTCGTTTCCTCTACCGTAAAACAAAATCAAGCGTGTCAAAAGCAACCAAGAGCCCATTCCTGGCGCACCCCGTCATCTCCATCTGTGTGGACAATATTTTCACCACGTGCGAGTAATTTTCGAGATCACCATGACTACTCGATCAAATGGAGCGGAAGTACTCCTTGTTCCAGGGTTTACCCTTCCAAGGAGTACGCAGAGTTCAACTTTCCGTGCCTATACAAGCAATCGAATAATATTTTGATTTTAGGGAAAACATTGGCGTACGCATCGAGGCTGTATTCTCTTGTCGCGAATGTCTCACGCGTTGCACAACTGAAAATGACAGTGGACGGCGTAAAGGAGGAGCGAGCACTCGCACGCACATTATGATTAATATAAAAGTAATGTGATGATAATAAAAAGAGGAATGGCAAAGCGCAGCGACATGTGCACGGGTCTGTCTTTCTGCAGCCGCGCGAGCATCGCGATGAGGTACATCAGAGACGTCTCTTGGCTCGTAAAACCTGTCAGGACTCGGCTTCTTTGGACGCGCCGGAGGTAGAGAGCGCGTAAAAGGCTAAAAGACTTTCTTTCGGGCCCGGCGGAATATACATAAACTGTTTAACTCTTCGCGACGCGTCGTAAATTACTTCAATATTTCCGCGAATAACCCCTAACGAGATTACGAGGCACATTGTAGCTGCTGCACCGGCTCTCTCGATCGCCCTCCCTCCCTCCCACATACGTATAGGTATATATATATATTATTGGTCTATTCGTGTACAACCCACGTGTTTTCTTCCTCTTCGATCTTTCTTTCTTCCGTCAGTTCTCTTCGCTAGTACTTAATGTCGTGAGCGCTAGATTAGCTTTTATAGCTTGCCCTATCTATCACTCTGCTGGATCCAGTACGCATTTCATGCACGTGCAGAAAATCTGCTACCAACTACACATACAATTTTTGTTTGGTAAATTAATAGGAAAGCGCTTTTACGGTTTTTTTTTCATTACTTGAATTTTTTACCACCCTGGACAAACGTAAGTCAAATAAAATAACTGCCAGTATGCAAAAAGCAAGTTTTTGTAAAAAAATTATTGTATTCTTTCAACTGCAGTCGAGTTATGAATCAAGTTAGAGTATTGGCTTACAAAGCAATCTCAGTTCTCCTATCATGGTGCATATATGAAAAAACAATTGATGCTTACCTATATAATTAACGCAACGAGGATATTTGCATAAAATAAATTTCCTGAATACTTTGTTATCTTTATCTCCAGATTTTCAATTTGCTTACGTATGATTAGCCACGTTTACTGTAATCAACGTTGTAAGGCACGAAAATGTGGATCATATTTTACCCACGGGTTTGGCTCACCGCGGTAGCACACGTTCAACCGATACATATGCTGGTAATATCTAGTACCGTATCTATGGTAAATAAATTATTACGTGTAGCTTAATAAAAGATACATTTATATTTCCGTCCCATCTTAATTTACGTTATTTGAATTATATTTTTTACCCACAAGTACTTTTTTCAACAAGTAATCAGCGCCTCTCTTACAATCCCCGCGGTAATAGGGTTGCCCACGGTAATTGGTATAAGCCTACCCAACTTGGTCTCGATCTTTTTCGGCTGCAGCTGAATTCTTCCTCTTGATTTTTATTTTCCCTTCACCGTCGTAGGGTATGTTATATACCCCATCTTTTTCTCGCTTCGGTTTTAATGAATGCCACGAATGTATACCTGTTTTACGCGCGGCGCGTCCCCTTTACCCATCGCTTGCGTGCTCGCAACGCCAATGTCATTACTGTAACTCCTCTTCACTTCCCCTCCGTTTTCGTAACGTACCTCGCGAGAAATTGCTCCCACATTGTTTATTTGCTTTCATTGCTGGCATCAACAAAAATTATGCTGCCCACTGTACATGGGAAAATACAATTATTTTTCGCACTAAAAATTGCTCGGAAAATCTCGCGCTTACACAATTCGTGCACGAACGATTCCCGCGTTTCCCGCAAGTGGTTGAAATGGTAAAAAGAGGCCAGCTGAGGATGTATTATACAGGCTTTATAGGACATATATTATATACTCTAGTGTTTGTTTCCACCTCCACGATCTTCCATCCTCGTATGTGGATCCAAACCAGTTGTCACCCAACTGCATGTACCTGACGTTGAGGCAAATCTTCGTAGATACAACCAGACTTCTGGGTACAACAATTTCGAATTTTTTAATTATACGCATTTCTATCGGCCGAAAATCCCATCGGCTGCTTACGAGGAAATAATTTTATCGCGAGCCGGAGGCAAGGATACTTTTCTTATAAGCAGTGGATGAGATAATATTCCCTTCAAGACAGGCAGGTGTAAAAATTGAGCTTTTTTAATTTTTGAGATGAAAACTACCAAGTATGCCTTAAAATTGGTATTTTGTACCACCTGGAAACAAAGTACTCGGTAACATTGCAACACAAGTACGGTCATACGCAGTCAAGTTTTGATCCGCGCGAGCATTTCAGTGCCCGATGCCAAAATCACGGACAGCCGACGTTTGGGGAGGTATCGTAAAAGCGCGGCGGGATGGGCGTTGCAGCGTCGCGGTCGATCGGTGTCCGACTGGAGGAGCCACGGCAATCTTCCGATGAGAGTACGGAAGAAAAAAAGGAATAGTAACAACGTCTTTGACGGCTATTTCGAGAATAACTGCTGATTGAACGTCTTACCGAGAAAAGTCATAATCACGTCCCAAAGTGCCGCGCCTCGTGCTCTTTTTCTTCTTTTTCTCTGAATATGCGCGTATGTGTGCACTCGCGTCTGTCGTGTCAACGTATATTGTTTACGGCGGTATTTTTGAGCCGAGCGCGGGGGTGATTGATTCAAAGTCAAGTTAAATCAAAATTTGCATGGACAATTCCATTTTAGTACTTTTTTTCGGCACTTATGCGAATATGTAAATAGTGCATTATTTTTACCTCACAAGAAGCGAGCACTTTCATCCAAAAATGGGTCAAGATTTTTAATCGTTATTACAACCATTACATCGTTTTAACTCCATGCACCCTATCTATAATCTGATAATTTTAAATTTACTTGTATTTTTGGTATCGACTACCCAAGTACGGTACGCTAGCTAACATATATATCTTAAGCCATTAACTGGGGGTCACTCGGATCAACTTGAACTACTTGGTAAATGATTCTGCAGGTTAGCTCATGTGTTTCAATCGGTTGGCAATCCATGAGTATGGCTAAAAATTTTCTGGATTCATCATGCCCTGAAAAACCTTAACTCCATTGAAATCGATTTTTGACGTGTCTGGGTGTTTCAAAGTGTTAAAAGGGAATGTTTGTTCATCTATTCCAGGCTCGCCAATCAATCGGTTACCAATAATGGCCAAGTCAGTGCTCGACTTGTACGAATTGTACAACTTGGTGATCGCTCGCGGTGGCCTCGTCGATGTCATCAACAAAAAACTCTGGCAGGAAATCATCAAAGGCCTTCACCTCCCTTCGAGCATCACCTCGGCTGCTTTCACGTTGCGAACTCAGTAAGTATACACACTCGCAATGATTACGTGTACCATTTGTGAGTAACACTCGCTTGGAACATTTTTCTTTTTCAGTTTTCGTTATTTATGATAAAAATCAAATTAAGCACGGTACGAGGCAAAAAAATGTCACGTATTTCAACTAACGTTTTTTTTTTTTTTTTTTTCCACCAATCGCGTGATCTTACCACGAAAAACCAAAACTAGAGTGCTACTTTAATTACGCACAGCAATATGCAATCGTCTTCAAGTATAGGGTTGATATAAACTATAGGTGTTTCAAGTGAGAAACAAAGAAAGTAATGGAGATGAAGTGTGAATTGATGACGAATGTTTGCGAATGTTGCAGATACATGAAGTACTTGTACCCGTACGAGTGCGCGAAGAAGAACCTCTCGACGCCGGACGAGCTGCAAGTGGCCATTGACGGTAACAAACGGGAGGGCCGGCGGAGCAACTACGGGGCCTACGGGACGAACGGGGGCCCGGGCACGCCCATGCACGAGGCCCTCGGCCACCAGCGCGGCGCGCACACCCCAAACAGCCTCGCGTCCCACTTGCACGGCCAACTGTCGCCCCTGTCGCTTGTCACCGCCGTTCAGCAGGCGGCCGCCGCCGGTGGCCAGCACCAAGCTCTGCACAACGGCAGCGCCGCCCACGCGCCCCTCACGCACCACCCGCACCACCCCCAGCAGCCCGGTATGATGCAGCTACCGAACGCAGGTCAGTACCGCCGATTCCACGCTTAAGTACTCGCTTTCACATCATTCACTCATTAGGTATGTCGTGGTACACCGAGGGTTGCGTCATTTTCTACATTTGCCAGTCCAGTTAGCTTCTAGCCTTTTGAACCGGTGTTTTTCAACCTTTACTGCTTGAACCATTCAATTTGCTATTTTTTCGCGAAGCTTCTATACTCCTCAATACTGTACTTTCTAATTTTTTATGCTTTATGCTCATCCTTAATTACAAAGGACATTTTTCTCCCCAGTTTTCGTTTTTATATCCCTTTCGTATACATTTTTTAGTTAAAAAGGATACTGATAAAAGTCTGACCGATTTATAGCCACGAGCAAAAAAATCCGAGCTTGAAGTATAATTTTTTTATTTTCATCCCAGAGTTCTTAGCTGCTCAACTTCGCCAGGTTATCTGTTTTATCTCAATCGACCAAGTCAATTTCTTTTTAACTTTTTTCATCTTTAAAATTGAAGAACCACCATGAAATCGTTATCGAATGAAAATTTCATAAAATCAAAAAAAAAAACAGCGAAATATTTTAGTGACGGTGCTAGCTGCAGCTCGTCTATGTACCAATGTACCCTAGCCGTCTGTATCTACCAATAACATGTTACCCCAGCCGCAAAAGTCTGTACGTTGAGTATCGAAAACGCCTTCCCTGATTGCCCCGATAATTTCCATTCAAAGTCCTAAATATACATGCTTGAAACAAACCGGCATGGAAATCGATGAAAAAAAAGGAGAAGCGAGTAGTGATGTACGATGCAAAAAGTAATATACGTGTGGTACGTGTTGAAACAGGTATAGCCCCGGAGATGTTCAACGAGTTCATGAAGCAGCTGCAGCGCGACTTCAGGCGCTCAGTGACGACGCCATCGAGGGGGGACAGCGAGTCACCGCAGCCACAACGGTCGTCCCCGACCCGCGAGCAAGCCGCTCTCCAGTTCGAGATGTCGCGTTTCAACATTTGGAACAACTTCTACACCAGCAACGTCCAGGCGAGCCTCGGCTACCCGATCCAGGCAGCCTCCCCGCCGCGGACGGCCTCGCGCTCGCCCCTCGTCCACCTCGAGAGCCCCGAGCCGCAGCGAGAGGCCCTCGACCTGGGCATCAAGTGAGTAGTGCCACTTCCTCCCCCCGACTCCACGTTGCATCCCACACTTTTCTTTTCTCCTTTATGATCAACACGTCTCCATTTACAAAATGAAAATTGGAACGTTTGGACGTTTGAAAAAATATAGTGTTCGCCACCCAAGTGTCATCCAATTCGGGCCTACCCTTCCGTCACCGCAGAATAGCCCCGATGATGACGTTTGTATGGCGAAAACCATGCCGTTACGAAATGAAGATGTATGGCTGAAATAATTGAAACGAAAAGCATTTCGTATCGGTTGATTTTTGCATGAAATCCTTTCTCGCACTGAGAGGATTTGTTAGTATATTATCTTCGCATGTTAGCTATTAACTTACGCATAATATGCATCCTGAAACCATACGTATTGTAACAGCAGTTGAAATATTTATATTTTGCCATGATAAAAATGTGTACATAAAATAGAGAGACTTTACGTATAATCTTGTTGTGTTGTCATTGCATAACATATTGTTTTAATAATATCAGAGTAGTAAAAGGGGATGAACCACAAAGAAATAAAAAAAAAAATATTATATGTATATGTATAGCAGTGTTCAACATAAATATGGCATGTTAACTATAAATATGCCGTCTGTGTGCAGTTAAAATTAAAAAAGGTTATAAAGAACATATTGTAAACTAATTTTCTGTTAAAATACTTGTACGTTGATAGTGAAAAAAATCCTTCTCTCAGTGCGCTGTGTGAATCTGTGCATTAGTGCATCTGCTCATCATATATTACTATTATTATTAATGTGTGGCATTTCCACACGGTTCCATCGACGACTGGCGCTAAAATACCCTTTGAAAACCCGCAGGTCTTCCTCGAGCGTCTCCTCGCACGGACAAACCAGCCCGAACCCCTCGCACGCCAGCAGTGGCGTGGCCATCAAGCGTGAAATGGAGCATGACTCGTCCCCGACCGCCCTGGTATCGGCCAAGCGGCCCCGTCGTGCTGTCGAGCCGGTTTCGGTCCCCGACAACGCCGAGGACACCCCCCACGAGGCCAACGGCGGCCCTCTTCAGCCCAACACACACATTAAGATCACGAACAGAGGTAAAACAACGTTGCATATACTTTTAATCCAAGAAATGGGCTCGCATTTCAGGGTTACTTTCGCCGTTTTTAAGTTTAACTCCACTCCAACGCTTGCAGTGTTACTTGTCCTACGAAAATAAGCAATAGAGAGTTTACGCGGATTGTCAAACAAACTTGTTTCCCAATTACAAGCATTACAATTAATTCGAGCTTTGTTCCTAATGGGAGAAACTTTGAGGATCATCGGTTTGTATCCAGTTGTAGAATATTTAGAGTCTTTTTTTTCTTGTGACAATCATATATAATAGTTTGTCAAAATTGCTGTAAAAAAAAAAAACAAAACAAAGCAAAACAAAACAAAAAAATACATGTACATGCACAATTATGAAAACAAGCAAAAACTGTGCCCAAATGGCGTTGTTCCCAATTCCAGGATGCCATGTTGACAAGTACCGATTCGATTTGTTTCAGGTGATGGTAACGAAAACTCTCTCGTAGTCAGTATGGAGCTTAACGGTGTTACATACCAGGGAGTTCTATTCGCCCAGACGGAGAATAGAAGTTCGCATGGGCTCCCTGAATCGGGTGGCCACACGGCACGGCGGAGCCCTTCTTCTCGCAACGTAGTCTTGTAAGCCGAGTTCACCGGTGTCAGTGTACGCTTCGATGCAACTAGTACACACAAACACACACACGCCCCTTTACTCACACACATGCATGAGTTGACTTTTAATGGTCATCGGTTGATCGCGCATACACATATCAGTATATACACACTGTATACTTAGTCTTTTATCACCGCTCCTCTCATGAATAATTACGTTCATATTTCCATAAAACGCGCGTATGTATGTGCGAATGTATGTGTTTGAGTGCATATATATGTATATTTATGCGTAGGAAACTTAAACTGTCACTGATACTTGACTCAAAGGGATATAAATATTAATAAAGTATTGTGCGTATGAAGACAAGCAATGGCCAAGCGGCATTTTTTTTCAATATGAGACCAGTATTTCTCGACGTACACTTTGTAACTAAAANGATAAATCTATAAGTGTGTTTGTTAGAATAATAAAGATACGGGCTCATGTATGACTACATTTCAAAGTCTATGATGTATACAACGTTATTGAGATTTTAACTGACTTCCACTTGTAAGTGAAAAGTTAAACAATTAACACATGTAAAAGTTATTACGATTATAAAGTATTGTGCGTATGAAGACAAGCAATGGCCAAGCGGCATTTTTTTTCAATATGAGACCAGTATTTCTCGACGTACACTTTGTAACTAAAAAAAAAAAAAAAAAAAAAAAAATTTACAATATACGTACTATGTGTAATTGACGTGGATGTATATGATACACGTTATAATTATTCGATCTATTTGTTGATGAAGGCCAGGTCATCTCGGTACGATCCTCTGGTGAGCATTTTTTGATAACTTCTAATTCTATACTGTGGAGAGCATGAAACGTATAAATCTAATTCTACTCTTACAGCTAGTCACTTTACTTTGCTCATTTTGATCACTTGTTTTATAAAAAAATTTTTCCAACTCCGACATACGTTGGAATATTATCAACACTTAAAGAAGTAAAATCACTAATTATTCAGCTCATTGACTGATTTTTAAATAATTTAATATAATTAGTTAGTCAATGATATTTTCAATTTATGCCATTATATGTTGTTAATATTCACGTATTAACTAGTAAATTTTAAAACACGTTTCGGTGTACATATACGCTCAGGTTATTGCAACAGACCGCAGCTAATTGTCTTCGTATGCATACATATAGTGAATAATATATGTATTATGCAGTTGTGTGCCGTTGGAGGATTCGTTTCTGTATGAAACTCACAGTGATTAGAGCCTCTGATTTTTATCTACGATGTCGTATGTATATGTAGTAGTGGGTATTTATTATTATTATTATTATTATTATTATTATTATTATTATTGTTGTTGTTATCATTGTTGTTATTATTATTTTTGTTATTATTGTTATCATTATTATTATTATTATTATTATTATCATCATCGTTTTCATTATTATCATTATCGTCTTTAACATTATCATTATCAGTATGTTTAACATCGTCTTTATTATCATCATTTTCATTATCATCGTCATCTTTACTATCAACATAAATATTTTCATCCTTATTATTATAAACATTATCTACATCATCATCTTAATCATTATTTGCATCATCACTATCATTATCATTATTATTATCATAATAATAATGATTATCATCAACAATTTTATTATTACCATTAATATCATAAATATTATTATCATTGTAGTAATTATAATTATGATCGTTATTATCGTCATTCATATCGTAATCATTATCACCATTATTATTATCATTACTTATATTGACATCGTCATCGTCATCGTCATCGTCATCGTTATCATCGCCAACATTTTTATTATCATCAGTCTTAATTTTTTAATCATTATTTTTATGCTAATTATCATCATAATCATTATTATCATCATTAATATTCTTATCATTATTATTGTCATTGTCCTCGTCATTGTCATTGTCACCGTCATTGTTTGCACCCTTATCCGCATCTGTGATATCATCATTATCTTTGTCATTGTTATTAAGGTTATTGTTGTCGTTGCGTTACTGTCATTATCCTTATCATTTTTATTATCAGTACCTTGATCATCATTGTCATTGTTATTGTTATTGTCAAAGTCATCGTCATTGTTATTATAATTATTATTTTTGTCATGATTATAATTATCATAATTATTATAATTATCATCATTATTACTA